TTAATTTTTCATTTAAGCCTAATTTTTGTGTTTTACAAAATTGAAATTCATTTTTTATATATACTGCCACCCACTCCAGACCAGGGAGCTGTTATAAAAGTATGAATGTAGGCCTACAATATGTACGCTATTTCTAGCTGCGTACATGTACAATAGTTCACTCCTAGCACCCGGCTGCATAGGCTGGCATCTACCAAGCCTGTGTGGCCTTTCTCTGGGCCTAGAGATAGGCCAGGCTAGATTTAGCGTCGCGGTTCGCTCAGTTCGATAGAGGTTTTGCTGCAGTGACATCTCGCTGCTGGCGACTCGGTGCTGGAGCCGACTCGCTGATGGCGAATCACCTAGTACGCATGCGCAAATGTATGGAACGCCGATCACGCAAAAATAGTGATTTTAGAATTTGACTCGGTAATGGTACCTAGTACGCATGCGTACATGTATGGAACGCCGAACATGCAAAAGTATTTTTTGCTTTTTAGTATGCGGCAACCTGTGGAGGTATATTTGGTATACCAAAAACGGACTTCGGTCATGTTCCAACTCCATAACTATAATAAATAATATGATGAAAATTACATAGAATTACATTGGAATACATTAAAATGTTACAAAGCTATCCTTATACATAAATTTACTTTACCATGTTATCTGTAATTGGAGAATTTCAGAATTTTATTAATTTTCAACAATGTGGAAAAAACACAATATTCCTGGACCAAACGGCAGTTTCTGCTGTTATGTCAGAGATGGGTACAGCCTCCGGCCAACGAGTGAAACTATCAATAAAAGTCAGTAAATAACTATAACCATTGAAGGGTGGAAGAGGTCCGACAATATCAATGTGGACGTGGTCAAAACGAGCATCATGTGTGGAAAAGGTAGACAACGGTGAAACTGTGTGTCGGTGTACTTTGGAGCGCTGACACTGAATGCATGTTTGAGACCATCGGCGTACATCACGGTTTATACTTGGCCATACAAAACGCTCTGTAATTAAACGTTGAGTTGCTCGAATACCAGGATGAGATAGCGAATGAAGAGTGTCAAAAATTGTGCGACGAATGTCTGATGGAACATTTGGGCGAGGATTACCCGTTGAAACATCGCAAAGAATCGTTGAGTCTGAAGTTGCAATTGGAAATGGTTGGAGTTTAAGTGATGATGAAGATTCACGTAGTTTGCACAGTTCATCATCAGTTTGTTGTGCCACTGCAATGCGTTCAAAATCAACCATTGTAGACGAATGGTGCTCAAGAGAGTTAAGTTCGATGCGCGAGAGTACGTCGGCTGCAGCATTATCTTTGCCGCTTACATGTCGTAAATCAACGTGAATTGGGAGATAAAGTCTAGATGACGAATTTCAAGTGGAGAGTGACGATCAGCTTTAGCGCGAAAGGCGTAAACGAGTGGCTTGTGATCAGTTAAGATGTGAAATGAGCGTCCTTCAAGAGAATTAAATATAATAAATTAAATATATATCACTCCGGCATTAATGAACTTGGCCTAAGCCTTGTAATGTAATTAATATTAAATAATAATAAAAATAATTATAAATATCCATATATAATTTCGCCATTAATTAACTTAGCCTAAGCCTTGTAATCAATAAGCACCTACAATATACTATATTAGGCCTATAGTCCAAACTCCCTGCCTTTAATTTTAGTAATTCAGAATTTGAACATTACAGCTTCATTTCCTAATTTTTCGAACCATGTTTTATGTTTCATTTTCTTATAAAAAATCTTGACTTCAATAAATCAAAGAAGAGTGGGAGAACAAGCAAAATCCCCGCAGCAGGTTAGGCCTACACACCGAAGTATAATATATACCTTGTGGCTCATTACAGTTTAGATCTTCTTTTGACGCTTACATCTTCTTTTGACGCTTACATCTTCTTTTGACGCTTTTCGACTATACATTTAATATCAAATTCTATCATAGCCTATAAATACAAAAGAGCAGTGGTATGATATCATGAATTATTTGATGTGTTCATGAATAACTACTCTCCGTATAGTGTTTATGTAGCATGGTATGCGGAAACGGAGTTACGAAATGATTGGGTTACTACGCCTGAAGAGGGTCCAGACGGACCGAACATTTGCGTGATATACAGTGTTTAAATATTCATGTATATATTACTATGTTTACTGCATTGTCAAAACACTTATACTAAGGTTCGAAATGGATCCATTCCATATTAAAACTATAATACTGTATATATAATAATTATATAAACTTTTCCGGTGGCGATAGATCAATATCATATTCAAATAACATGCCGTCGTATATAATTACATCCTGCAACGTAAATTGCCGATGTGTGCAGGCGTATCTGGCGTAGATGTCGTCATGTATAACACTGGAATTGATGCTGTGTGTGCTTACAGAAACGATTATAGAGAAGGCATCCTTGTGAGTAAAGATTTTTGACGTCTATACCGCCCTCTATGTTTTATCACATTCAGAATTTAGATCCATCTTAAAAGAATTTTCGATAGCAGTATAGCTTACATTTTTCGTTCCACTGAGATTTTATTTCATTTCATTTACTTCTCTCAAAAACATAAAAAAATACAATAATAGAAACAACAAGGAACAAGCGAAAACAAACAGACAGACACCCTAAAAGTGAACTAAATCACTTTACACACACAAAAAAAAATGCTTAAAATACAATTTTTTTTAATGAAAATATCAAAGTTAACATTTTCAAAAATCTGTAAGCCAGCATACTTTAAAAGTTTGGCATTTAAAATATTAACATTTTCTGATCATTCAATTTAAAATGCTAAAATATTTCAATGCCATCATCGGCATTGTTAGGTCGGTTAACACAGAATGATAACTCGTGATTTAGAGGTGGGTTACGAAAATATAATAATATACACTTTAGTTGTGTTATATTCTATAGGAATATTTGGATTGTGCCTGCATGAATGTTACTGTTGATCCTAATGAGCCATCATTAGGATGTACAGGTATGCTAACAACTGTCTCTAACGAACGACTGCAAACTCTCCTAACATAGTTCCATTGTTGTTATACCTTGCAGTAGTCTGGAATGAAACACATCGCTATTGTTTCATTTGTACTTGTAATAATTGCAAATTTTGTGGTTAAGATGTTCGAACTAAATCAAACGATCCTGATATAATATCGCCAGAATTTCCTGGGTTGGTCCTTGCAATAAAACTCAATTCCAAGACACGTTACACACTGAAATCAAAGTATTATGCGATTGCATAAGCCTACTTTCTATCACACGAATGATTGTCCCTTATTTTAGGATGCTATGTTATTTACCAGGTAAACATTATACAAATTAAAACGTCCTAAATTTATTATTTCAATCTTATTGGAATACAGAACGAATGAGATCATAGAGCTTTATCAAGCTATAGCAATAAAACAAAAATCATTTAGGACTAATATACAAGCATGAAATTATTTCACAGTAATTTATTTAATGATCCATCATCTAAGATACATGCTAAGAAAGCATAATTAAATACCCAGTTAACAAGTTCAAGTTATAATAACGTTTCAGTTTGGTAATCAAAACGTTGTATTATAGAATCAGAAATAGGTATTTATAACGTAATTTCCAACTAAATGACGTTGCAATGCAGTGCAATGTTGTACTAACGTTATTTTCAGGCATAACCAAACACAACCTTCACAACGTTCGCAAATGCTATGTTGACGTTCTGAATTTAGACATAAAAATTAGACATACAAAATACCAAATGCGATCCCGGGTTCGAGTCATGGTGGAGGTTGATATTTTTGTCTTTCGTTGCCAGATTCCATTTCTCTTAATTTCAATATATATATACTGTCTCTTA